AAAGTTATGAATGATTTTGTTAAAATTATGTAGTACTCATGGTAATATCAATTATAAATTATTTGCTTGGAACTGATTTCTCTCTTTCTACTCAGGAGCATTCTGTACCGAGAACACTGTAGGGAATATCACTAATAGTTATGTTATAGAAGGAGTGTTATTTCCTTTATAACAACAATAACAATTGTAATTTATAACTTATTAATTAACTAAAAAATCAATTTAATTATGTTAGAAGCTCAAAAAAAAAACAAAAAAAAAACATTACATGATCAGATGCTATTAAGAAAATCATTCATAATTTTTGTTCTTAAGAAAAAAAAAAATTTTTTTATGATACAGGGACCAGTAGATCCATCTAAATATTTGTGTGCGTACATTCTTATATTCTTTATTTATTTTTTTCCAGACACAATGCCCATCTGTCCCATATTAAAAGGTTTCATAATAAATTAAAATTCATTAATGTAAAAAAACATAAATAATGAGTTCATAAATTCATAAATAACTTCGAATAAATACTTAATATTAAAATAATCATAACAATATTAATAATAACAATTGATCACAGTTATAAATACAATGTTTATTAATTAAACATTTTTCATGTAGAAAAAAAATCATGTTTTGCAATGTTGCTTCAGGTAGTTTACTCTTATGTCTAATTGAATTGGCATTATGCAACAAATGTTACAAAAATATTCTCTATTCATTATATCTCTGAAAAAAGAGACTAATCGGTACCAGAAGTAATTGTTTTAATCGATGGATTATATATGTACACATTTTATCAAATGATTACTTAATGGACATGATACAATAATAATGATATTGAAAAGGAGATTATAATGAACCATAAATTCTATTTTTTTGCAAAGGTTTAAAAATAAATTCTCCAAAACATCGATTAGCTGAAAACATTGTTACGAAATCAGGTTATACAAACTGCAATGCCAAGATAAATAATTAAATTAAACAAATAACTTTGATTAAATTTAAATATTTTCGTTTATTTGTTTTTAAAGTTAAATTTTAAATATAATTTCATTCAGAGTGAATTTTAAGTGGATTGATATTTTAATTCTATTCATTCTTTAAATCTCAATGAAATTAAAATAAAACAGTACTAATAACATTTAAACAAATATCTAAATTTTATTTGACATGAAACATTGATCTTTCATATAGATATTGTTTTTCCTCGTCAAAAAGTATTAGAAGGACATCTGTTAGGAGAATGATAATAAATGTGTAATAATTTGGGGCCTGAGATGCATTTATATTTATTTAAAAAAAAAAAAAAATACTCTTTTATATAACCAATAAGTTCTTGTCTGCTTAAAATATATGTATAATATATATATATATATATATATATATATATATATATATATATATATATATATATATATATATATATATATATATATATATATATGTATATATATTGTAATAGAGTTATCATTCATTCATAAAATAAAAAAAAAGATTCTACTGTGGAACATCTTTGTAAGTTAGGTAAGAACCGCTCCCTGTACCCCTGCCCACAAAGTACTTATTCCAGTGCAGCTTTATATATATTAACTTTATAAAGGTAAGAAGAACTTATAGAGCAACATTATTAAATAAAACTAAAATTAACTGACAATTTTTTTTTCAAAAACGACAATATTCTCGTCTAACATATGTTAATTTTATTGTATCAAAATTATCATTCAATTTTTAAAACAGACATATCAACCCAACAACAAAAACGATATCCTCTGGGAACACAGCTGGCTGTGTTTTATGAAAAGTACACTCAATGAAATCCTTTGTGAGAAAATTAGGGGATTTATCGGTCTTCTATAATCTATTAAGATGAATAAATTTATAGAGCTGTATTAATTTTTACATAATAAGAAGAACTCTGTAAACAATATAATGTAAAATACATAAGATTTTTTAAATTCAACATTATTAGTATTTCAAGTAAAATAAATTCCTAAGATCCATCTAGTTTACATAATTTATGGCATTTAATATTTTTATATAATAATAAAAAAAAAGTTTTAAAGCTAAACATTATGTGATGAATTTTTAAAAACATTAAGATTTAAAAATTTTCTGATGCAATTTATTATATTTTCATTTTAATTAATCTTGCATTAATACATATTACTATATTAATGATATTATATACATATTATTAATTTTACTATTATGAATGAAACCAAGGCACACCCCATGCTGTTGTACCACATAGTAAGTACATAGTAATTACTATACTTATGAGTCTTCGATAACTGATATTTATTGATTTCGCAACATGTTCACATTCTAACTGTTAGGATGAATTTATGCTCTCCATTTATAAGAAATTATTATTTTAAATAATTAATAAATTATTTCAAATCATCAGATTACTATGGGCATAGTTATTTTTAAAACTTGACTAATTTCTGTTACCTAAAAATAGAAATATAACTGGGAAATATAATTAATTCATTTCAAATAATATAATTACATTGATGTCCTTTAATTCCAAAATTATATCACTTTGCTACAAACACTAATATATTTAATTCAAATTGTAGCAAAGAAACAATTTTTTTAATGTAATACAAAAATACGTTTTTTATCAGTAGTTTAATAATAATATATATTCTCAGCCAAAAATAAATAAAATTATTAATGGGCCACTTGAAATTCCTTGTTTCTTCCTAGATTGATAAAAACCTAACTATTTTATGGAAGAATACCATTTGCAGTTTTATATTGGTTGTTAATTCTTTTATGATGTCATGATAGCCGAGCTTGTAAGAACTTTGTCTGTTTTAGCAATCTCGTGCCTAGTGATGCCAGTTTGAATCCGGCCTGGGATGGATTGATTTATATTTCCTGGCGGACCCACGGAATGAAACTCAACCCTTCCACTCTGATTAGAATAGGTTTGGTTGCACCTCTAGAACAACACCTCCATATGCCAAAAATGGTGAGTAGAGGGTTATCAAATAAAAAAAGAAAAAAAAAGTTAATTCTTTTATGTACAATGGTTGCATAAAATGACCATCTCATTGATTTTTTATAAACTGAGCAGCCACTGTATTACATTAGTTGACTACAGAGTTTTCAGTGATATTGATTTCAATAATGATTTTTAAATTGAGAACAGTGTTTTAGGGAGATATTTTATATAAATCAGATTAATAAAAGAACGATTCTGAGAGATTAACATTTTAATGAAATTAAGAAAATTAAAACTTGTGAAATAATAAAAAATAAACAAAATAGTATTCAGAGGTCCATTCCTATGGATATATTTGGAATATGTTTCATCCGTATTCATTAGTGTAATATTCAGATTGAGGAATTTTTAAAAAATAAGGCTTTTTCACACAGGTAGATAAAATTGAGTACTGGAAAAGCTCGCAGAAGTTATTAGAGGAAGCCAGGGACCAGTAATGGTCTGTCGAGCCATTAGAAGAAGAAGAAGAAGATAAAATGTCATTTAACTAGTTATCTTGTTTTTATTTTATCTTATATAGTATAGTTTTCATTAAGTAAATATATATATTTTATTATTACTTTGACTTGTATGAAAACAGAAACTAGGCTCCATTTTTTTTTTTTTTTTTTTGGCTGAGTATATATGAGTATAAATATACATTTAGATAAGATGCAGTGGTTTTATTAATAGACCTTTAAAGATGTAATTTCTTAAAAACTAATTTTTATCATATAAAAATCTAACAACACAATGAGATAAAATAACAGCCACATCAAGATATGAAATTCATCATTCACAAGTTACAACCAACATTTCCACATGTTGAGCATCCTTTTCATAGAGTCATTCCATTATTGAGTACATGAATTTCACTAACTTATTTAAATGCCTCCATTTCCTAACAATTAAAGTTAATTTCAAAATTGCTTTTAAAGCTCAATTGATGACAGAGAGCACAAATAATGTTATTATGGCACTACTTAAAAAAAAAAATATATGAATAAATAAACTGAATACATAATAAAATTAAAGCTTAACCAAAACATACATGATTCTATGAACAAATTAAAAATACTACTACTAATTTTCCTGTATTAAAACTAATTTTTAAACCAGAATATAAATAAATATTCGTGTCTGAGGAAATAAACAATAAATTAAAAATTTTACAAAAGTTTTTATGGTTTAATAATTACTAATATAACAAGGAAATAACATTTTTTTGTATGTTTAATCTATGAAAGTTACAACAGTCATGAAATCTGAATCAAAAAAGTAAATATTATCATAAATATAATATAAATATTTCATAATTATTTAAGTATTTTTTTTCCAAGAATATAATTTATAATGCATATATTTATTAAAATTAAAATAAATAAGTGAATTTTATACCATGTCATGCTTAAAATTTAACAAAATGGTGAAAATCCCAAAAGGGGACAGAACAGATTGGTATACATAGTAAGGTAAAATAAATGTTAAACTTGAGAATAAGTAGATTTCTGAAGCATTGTCTTTCCAAAAGGGCTAAAAATATGAACAGTTTATAATATTCCTGCAAATCAAATATTAAAGTAAACAAGAACCCTTAGACACGTAATATTTAAGAGACAAAGAGTATCTCTTATTATTTCTGATGAAATAATCTGAAATAGAAATAACAGGTAAGACCTTTCATGGCAGTGTTGTTTAAAAAAAAAATTAATATGGACAGAGTTTTTGATTAAATAAGGAATATAAGTTTAAAACAGATGGGTTATCTCAATAATATCAAGAATGATTACCTACATAGTAATATACAAATTTTTATTTATTAGGAAGAAAATTAGAGGTTCATAAAAAAAAAAAATGAACTATTGTGTTAAATATTAAAACAGACAAATTTTTAAGAGATGTTTTTTAAATTTTCATTTCATTTTGTAAATATTTTCAAGAAGTTATATAAATAAATTTAAAAAACACTAAATATATAGAAATGCCTTTTCATAGCTTTTCTTGTAAACTACCTTTATACATAACTTTCATCACTTCTAACAATTGAATTGTTCAAAAGTTTAATTGTTGTTGACAGTCCATTGTCAACCCTACTAGCTTCATCTAATGAAATCACTCTTACTACACTTCTCCTCAGAAGGTTATCGGATGAAGATGTCTTCGCTGAAGAAGTAAGAGTGGTTGTTGTGGTAACAGTACCCTTCCGGGCAAAATTACCATGATTACTGATTCCCAGCAGCTTCCTGAAGCCATCTCTGAACTTTGATGACATTAAGTTATAAAGAATAGGGTTGATTGCTGAATTTATGTAAAACATCATTCGACAGATATAGAGAATGTTATAAAATGTTTCTATTCCCATTGAAAGGAGTATCTCTGGAGGAGCATAGATGACATAAAGAGTGAACGCTTTGAATGGCAGCAGGCATATAAAGAATGAGATGACCACTGTTCCAAGCATCATTACAACCTTAAAAGAAGATAATTATTAATTACGATAATCAAATCTTTAAATAAATTGAAATATGTATTAGGGTCATTTTATGGAAACATTGGAAATACCTTAATGGTACTGCTATTCAAATATAATTGGATTGGATAAATTGAAAAAAAAAAATTGGAAAAAAGAAATTTATATATATACAGGGCCGTCACGTGAGCAGAGTGGCCGGTGGGTCACAAATCAGGTATAAAGAATGCATAATGCTTTTGAAAAGTCTTATTGCTATCCAATCTCTACTTTTTGATTCATTCCTTTTAATGTTTACTTCGATCATCATACATGACTAGCAGAATAAATATTTCTAACTTCAATTCTATATACTGTTGTTTGATAAATTACAACAAGCTGGCTAAATATTTATCGGTCGTGAACGGAATTGCAAAAGTATAATTAAGTACAATAAATATAATACATAAACATATGACAACATACCACTGGACAAGTTGGAGAGATGTGAGAGGGACGCCTTATATAATTTTGCCTTGAACTCCAAAAAATCACTTGATGGACCTGTATATATTTATGATATAGATGACAATATATGTGTGTTTGTTCTGGTTAGGGTGAAATGAAAAATACTTTTTTTAACAGACAGCTTTTGGTTAGCAAATTCTGAAGTTGCCTTTTTACGTCAACAAAAACTCTACAAGTTTATATTTTGAGCTTCCTTAAGAGGCTTGAAAATAAGTATTTTTTCAAAAACTTTAAATTTTACATTGATTTTTAATCAAATATTGTTTTTATCAAATAGAATAGATCCTTCTTCACTGTAACAACAATTGTATCAAGTGTGGGCAGTTACAACTTTCTCCTTTCATATTAAACTTATATCTTAATTTTTCACAAAAGTTAAATAAATGGGCTTTTTATCTAAAAATTGAAATGTTAATTCTGACTTAAATTAATTGCCACTTGGGGTACATCAACAGATAAATATAGAATAACAAAATTTTGTAGTGTTTTTTTAGAAATAAAAGGAATCTTTTGAATGCTATTAGAGAGTTATCCACTCACTGAAAAAAGTGTTTTTTTTAATAGATGTCTTGGGTCAACATAAAAAAAAAAAGGATACACCACTATCCTTAAATAATTTCACAGAAAATATGATAATATAACTAAAGATATAAATAAAAACTGGATTAGAACCTACATCAGCTAAGTAGTATTGATTATTTTACCAAATGTTATAACCAAGAAAGTTAATTACTAATATTTAGTAGTGAGAATTATTTAAAATTATTATTTCTGATCAAATGTTATCTGAGATGTGGCAGTTTACTTTAAAAGTAAGTAATATAATTGAGTTGTCATAATTACATTTTGACTACACATTATTTTTCTTACTCACCTGTCTACGATACCTGAGTGCTGCTGACTGGTTATTCGGTGCAACTAGACCATGGTTAGAAAGGAGATTCCTTGCAATAACTGAGTATAATCCAACCAAGATAGCAAGAGGAAGACAGAAGAAGACTGTTGTACTCATTGTAAAATAAAACGATGTCCAGAATTCATTTGCTTCCATCAAGCAAGTTGTCACATTTGTACCATCAAAATACTCTTCTTCACGGAATTCCGAAACCATTAATACAGGGCTGTGGAATATTAATTATTTTTATTTAGTCTATAAATTATTGAAAAAGCAATATAATATTTTAGAAATTTGATAAAAACTATCACAAAGAATAATCATTAAAATCTGATAAAAATCATGTCATATTTGACTACTTAAAATACACAAAATTCGATAAATCACTGTCACTCCTTGAAATATTTAAATGATAATTAGTTGAATCTAATTAAAGATATAACCCATTCCAAACCTAGGAAAAATTTGTTGTCATTATTCATTTTTCAAAACATGGTAGCTTATTCAGAATACAAAACCCTTGAATTGAGGGTAGTTTTCCTTAATCATTAGCTCAAAGAACTTGTTCTCTGTCAGAACATGGAGTTGTGTAGTTAATTTGTGTAGTAGGAAAGTTAAAGTAATTGCTATAACCACCTTACCATTCTTTATCTTTCCCAAGATTTCCAGAAATATCCCTTTAGATCAAAAGATTCTTTTAAATTTTTTCACAGATCTGTTTGTTGGCTATCACAAGACTATATTACCTCCCTCCCCCTTCCTCCTAAAAATTAATAAAATCTAACTTGGTCAGTTTTTTACCTAGCAGTCATCTTCTTCATGACGTAATTCAGATGTTATTAATTTTTATTGTTCATATAGATCTCTAAAGAGATATAAATTTATTTTTATTAATGTTTAGTAAGTGTTAGTATAAAACAAAAACGGTCGAGATTCAATGTTACTGGAATGGGTGCCACTATCAAACACACCCAAGCCAAGTATGCACTTGCTGTTCCTTGGTCTGAACCAGTGTTGTCACTTTTACTTTTATATTTATTTATACTTGATCAATTATTTACAACAATCAAATACCTTAAATTTATAAAATAATGAAGTAATTTTTCACTACATTCATTGCAGTAAAAGTAGAAAAATTTGTAAATTTTAGAGTTTATCCGGTTTCTTTCCAAAGTAGTGTATCTACAGGTATATGGTACAGTTAATTAATTAATTTGTGTCTCTTCTCCACAACCTTGCCTATAAGCCAAATTTAAGAAAACGAAAATGTAGTTTATTATATTTTTATTTCTGTTTGTACATTTCAGAGATAAATCTTCGGTATCTAATACTTCTCAGTATTGGGTGGGTCAATGAATAAATTTGGTCAATGATTAAACATTCTCTTTATTAATTATTTGTTTAAAAATAAAGTTTTATTCAAGCTGTCCCTAGTTATTAAATTTAGGAAATGGGTGTATAAAATTATGATCTTTTTTGAGGATTTAGATGAAAAAGTAAAAAAAAAAAACTATCAGTATCTGATAAGTTGATAATGTACCATATTTGTTTGTTGTTTCTTTTACTTCCAAAATACTGTGACATTAATTAGAGAGAGAAATACTTTATTGAAAGTAATGCTGCTACATATAATTCTTATAACTAGAGACCGGATTTTCGAGCAGTAAAAATCAGGAAAACGTGTAGTAAAAAACTCAAAATGTGCAAAAACGTGCAGTAAAAATCTAAAATAATTAAAATCGTGTAATTAACACCTAAAAGCGTGTAAAATCATCAATATTGTTTAATTTATAACATCAATACATCAAAATCTTATCAGATCTGGAATTAACTGAGAGATTAAAATTGAAATGTAACATTGAAAATAAAATTCCAGATTATAATAACGATTATTATCAAATAATGCAGAACATTAAAGGTTTGAAGGAATTATATGTACGTATATATTATATAGACCAGACCAATTTTAGACATTTAACTTTTATTAAAAATAATAATGAAAACTTTATTTTTTAATAGAGTTGAGATTTCCAATATTATACATTACAAAACGTTTTTGTTAAAATTTAAAGAATTGAAAAAAAAATTGAAATAGACTATAATTTTTGAGATTTTCAAGTTTTCAAATATTAGTGTTGAAAGAGTTTTCTATATCACCAAAAAAAATAATTTTGGGGGAAATCGTTCTTTCTAAAATACAAAAAAAAAACATTAAATTCTTTGATTAGAATATTTTTTCTTACATCTTCCCCAAGGAGCACCTATCAGCTGTTTAATTTTTCATAAGGTGTATAGAACCCATCAAATTCTTCGTCCTCAGATTTCAAATCGGAGTATTTTTTATCCAGATTTTAATTTTTGACGGAGACTAGATTTTACTTTCAGTATTAACAATTTTTTTTTAAAATGTAATTTCTACAAATCAATTCAAAGCCAGAAGAGATACTGAAGGGTTGAATGGGTTGAGAATTCAAGCCAAAACAATAACTATAAATGTCATACAAATAATACAGCTAATTCAAGGAAAGCAAGCAGATTTTTATTATCCAATACTTTAGGCAAGTTCTGTTCAAAGAATAGATTATCATTTGTACTTTCCTCCTATTTTTCTATTTTGAGTAATGCATTTAATTTGAACAATATAGTAAAATAAATATTAACACACTCACTTATACATTTATATTTATAAATCGTCTAATTAGCACAAAATTGCAAAAATCTGCTATTTAATGCAACAAAAATCAAAATCATGCAATTTAAGCCAAAAAAGGCAAAACGTGCAATATAAAATTTAAAAATGTTATTCTACAGGTCCTGAAACTGATATCCGGGTCCGGAATTTTTACACGCAAGCGAATAAAAAGTGCAATAATATGGAAATCCGGTCTCTACTTATAACACATATAACCCTATTACATAGGATTACTTTATACACAGCATTGGGAATCGTTCAGCGAGACCCAAACCAGAGGCCTCTCACGGTGAACTCTCTCTCTCTGAAGGTCTTGCATAATTTTTCTTTTAGGAAAGGGATACATTTATCATATATGTTCTTCTTTTCCCTTTCCACTTCACCAGCCTGAATGAGGTAATTTCTCTCAAAGCAGACAGTTGGATCCAAGATCAGCTCTGTCCCCCCTGTCTTGGGAAACGCAACGATTTCAAACTATCTTGTAGAAACTTCACTGTTCATGCAATATATCTCGTCAAAGCAGGTGAATTCATTTTCTCTAGGGAGCCTTATCACCTCGAACTTGACCCTGTGGAGGAGTTGGAGTACTAACGTTATGAGGAGGTAGTTGTGACATTTTAACATTGGCTGGTGTTTCACACTTTCTAACATTTCTGACAGAGGGGTAGACAGAAAAAAAGCTTCCCCAAAATGTAACCCTGTTTTATAAAAAAAAAATTATCTCTTAAAATATTATTGTTCGTGTAATTAATTTCATTTAATAGGACTTCAAGTATCACTTAAACACTATTTCATATAGGTAGTTAGTTTCTTTTTTTTCCAAAGTGATTATCGTTTTATATATATGAAAAAAAAATCTATCGGGCTGAAGCCCTCCCCAAAATTAAATCCTAGATCCGCTAGTGGAGATAGGTATGTAGTATTAATTGAAACATTGCATAACCTTTTAAACTTGTGAATGTAACGCCTTCAGTAAAATTAACCATGTATGTATATCATACAATTGAAAATAGCAAAAACTCATGAGTTTCCTTTATGATTGATGTCCAGGATGATGGTAGAATACATTGCAGTAGTTAGAAGTTTAATTTGTCTCATTAAATTTCATCACAACAATCTATCATTAAATACCCAGTTGGTACATTTTTCTTTTTTTTAAAATGACCCACTTATATTAACTTCATCTATTTGTACTCTCAGGAATATATATATATATATATATATATATATATATATATATATACCAACTGGGTATTTAATGATAGATTGTTGTGATGAAATTTAATGAGACAAATTAAACTTCTAACTACTGCAATGTATTCTACCATCATCCTGGACATCAATCATATATATATATATATATTAAAATAAAAGTAGTGCCAAAGGTAATTATTATTATTTTTAATATGTTTATTTGGATTTAACATCCTTATGCACTTCAACTAAGGCAAGAAGAAAAAATGATCATACAAATTAATAAATCATAAATATATGACAATAAATTATAGTCAGTGTGGGAAGGTTGAAATTCATTCAATGGGACCACCATGAAATAAATGTCAACTCCACCAGGATGTATTTGATCTGGCAACGGTTTCTGACTAGTTTAATAAGGTGACTTTCAATTTAAAAAAAAAAAAAAATTATAAAAAAGGAATGCTGATAAAACTAAAATAATATTAAGAATAGATTACAACACAGTGAAAAATTCTTTAACACATTCATCTAACTGTTTTGAATATCTAATTTTAATTTAGAAATAAAAACAAACAAACAACAGACAGACTAGCTTTTATTATACAATCAATCACAAAATATATTTACAAAAAGTTCATTAAGTGCATAACATTGTCTTGGCAATAGTTGAAAAAAAAATACATATTAGACTAACATAATAAAACAAACTACTTAATCTTTGGTATATCAAATACAGAGAGTACATAATTAAATATACGTTTTTAAATAATAAATTGTAAGCTATGACAAATAAATCAATATATTTTTGTAAATTTATTACATTTTAATTTAAGCTACAGTCGTCATTGAAGATTGACTAGTTTCTAGCAGTAGCAAATATAAATAAGTTTCACTTGGAGGACATTTAAAGCACATTTACTAAGTAGCTAATATTTTTTATTTTGGCACAATTATTTATAAATTTAGTTGCTTTATTTTAACTTTATTTGATGAAATAAGATAATAAATTATGGGGAAGATTTCTCATAACTTAGAAATATGAAAAGAAGTTTATTTCGGCTATACAAAAATATTCTAGTCATTATTTTGTGAAATACTAATTTGAAATCACTTCTGTAAAAGAATAGTTCTATGTATAAAAAAATATTTTATTTCTGCTTCATGCTTGAAAATAATTTTATTTATGCATAAAATAATTTTAAAAAAGAAATAACAACTTTACTAGCCCTTCTAAAAGTTATTCATTGTTTAAAATGTATGAATGAAAAAAATAGATTAAAAAAAGAGAAATTTAAAGAAAAAAAGATATTTTCATGTTCCATAATTATGAACCTGTATTATTTTCAA